GACGATCGCTGTGATCAGAACGCCGAAGCAAACCCCGTGACCGTCTTGTACGGTGGGTACTGGGGGAGAAACCCAATGGTTCACCCATTGGTGGTTCAAAGGCGGACGTCTTCTCACCGAAACCATCCATTCGCAGTGAATTCATCTGCAGCCGTGACACTAAGACGCTTTCCTGCCCGCGCAGAGGAAGCGGAACATGTGACTTGTGAGATCTTGTGAGTATTGCTACGGACGATGACATGTGACCCTTAAGCCTTGGTTGTCCCACAGCCAGCTTAACGGAGAGCAATCTATGCATAGAGTCCAAGCAACATTAAATCTCAATGGTTCAATTGTTCAAAGTTAAAAGGATGCTAATGGTGTCAGAATGCCATACAAAATCAAACACAATCAAACAAACTGCCCTAGCTCGTGAATTTCTACTGAAGAGGATAAATCATTCATCATCATGTTATAGTTTTCCACTCGGAAGAAAAAACAATGCATCATCCTCTGTCCCTAATGAAACACCCTCTCACACACAAAACCACCTATAGTCGCTAAAGCCGACTTTGTCATGCAAAAGGACTTGAAGGATACGCCACAGCATTGACAATTGACAATACTTTACGTCAAGGCTTCCACACGTCTGTGTCGCGGATCTTGGTTTACTCAAGCAACCCACGAGTTCCACCACGAGTTCATAGGTCCAAGCGTCCCAAAGTTCATGGTTCATGCTGGGTTCATCACCAGCTTTCGTTTCTGGCACGCTGCCGCCCGCCAGCAGTTCCTGATCGATAGTACGCGAAGTCAGCGGGCGGAGGTTGTTTCCTAGAGGGGTGGAGGACTTGTCCTTGTGGTGTCGAAGTACGCGAATGTCCGGGAATCTGCAGGATCATTATGCAGCATCTCAGGATGTTGGATGGTCTATTGCCGGAATCACTGAGTAGTGATGATTCTCTGCGAAAAGTAAGCAGTTGAGAGGTTCTGCTCACGCTTAGGCCACTCGATTTGTGGTTGACTGGTGTGGGAAGCTGATGAGTGTTTTGTAATTGGGCCGTCAAGGGCGGAAGATTCAAAGCCAGTGGACCCTAAGTTCGGCTATCTGTCGGGGTCGGGGAACCTCCCTAAAGGTCGCTCCAAGTTGGGGCTCCTTGTTGAGCTGGGAATTAGGGTCCCAAAGACTTCATGTCTGTCATAGATGCCTAGATCGACCCTGAAACCACCCCAATGTATATATAAATGCCAAACACGGAGTGTCTGGGTATGGACAATCCCAGCTCCGAATCACTTTGTCAGAAGCTTAAAACTTGACGACCTCTCTCCTCCACAAATCTTCTCTTGCTCGATCTGTGAATTCCGCACCAATGATCCGTCGCGTCCGGAACCACTCCGTAGATCTTTCCAGAACCGTTTGGCACCACCCAACGAAAGGACATGCCTTTTCGGATCACCATGGATCACCTAAAAACCGTTGTTGTTCATGGTCTTGGACTCCCAGCATTTTGCATTGGTTCCAAAGGTCCTAGGTCCCCCCCTTTCTCCGAGTAATCGGATTCTCGGATTGGATTGTCAGATCATGCCAAGTGTCGATGAGGAAACGATCTGAGACTTGACACACACTATGCGCCACCACGGAAAGTGGGATCAACCACCTGAGCTCGCGGAAGCTCGCTCGGCCGAACTCGAGCGAGCCACGGAACGCGGTGCCGGGGCTGCATCCCTTCTCTTGGGTGGAACCCTAGGGATCCAGTGCCACTGAACCTCAGAGGGTATGACGGTATGACAGGGCCCACCTGGCGCCTACATCAATAGTCTCCCTGCTCACCGTACCGACCTGGTTCGGAATGTGGATCCGGTGGGAGAGAAAAGCTGTTTTGTTGTCGGAACCAACATCCGAAGCCTCGGATGATGCATGGTTGCTTCGTATGGGCGATCTCGGCGATCCCAGGGGTCCACGTGGTGTTGCGGAGCTTTTCCCTACACCGACTTCGTCGTACCTCCTCAGGTTCGGTATGACTGGACCCGACACTGGCACCCGGGCCCCCAGTCCCACCTTCGAAACGAAGGTACTTGGAGGCCAAACGGGTTTGTTTTAAGATGAGAGCTTTTGACGTCCAGGAGGGAATGCACATGGCATTTGTTCATTTTACAGCACCCTGCACCACAAGATGGAAGCAACTCTGAACTCCAGCAAAAAGAACACCTTGAATTTCCGGCCAACCTGACCATTTGGATCTTTGGTATTATCTATCTGGCAATGACTTGCGGTAACTCCTTTGGGTATCTTTATACTCGTGGACTGGGGTGCAGTCGAAACCCCCACGCTGCGTGGTTGACAGAAGCCACTCGTCCGCGTTGGACTGCGACGGCAAAAGAAGAATTGATGGGGATGAAAAATAAAGAAAGCCTGTGGCCCTATCTGATGGGTGTGCGATGGTGTGCATGGTGTATTAACATAGGAAAACATCCCGAAGACCCCCCTGGAAGAAGGAAAGTGATGACCAACGCCACACAGCTTAGATGTTGTAGAGGAAAAAACACCACAAACCCTCGTTCTTCGATGTCGTTCAGTTTCTCAAGCGGCAACCCAAAAAAACACAAACGAGACTTGCACCAAGCGAAATGGACACTTGTGCCGAAGATACTCCTCTCTTGCGTGTGAGAAGCGCCTCGGATGGTTTTGTGAACGTAGACACGTCCCCAGTGTGCTCCCTGCCCTGGTTGGTGGGTTGGTTTCAACTCACTTGAGAACATATGAGATTCTTAGATATATAGTGGGTTCAATATGGTTCAATCAGTATCAACCCTGCCAAGTAAGGGTTGAACATAAAACTATCGGACTTCCGTAGGCAGGCAGGTTAATGTTCAGCACCTTTCCACGAGCCAGTTGCGGAAGGCTCACTCTAGAGGCCAACACTTGGAGTTGATCTGAACTAAGGTTTTTGAAATAATAACCTCCTGTACTGCAGGCAGTGCAGTTTCCTTGCGCTATCGCAAAGTGCATGAACATCAGTGGGTCATACCGGAAAAGTGTAGAACGCCCTCTCGCTCCTGACCTGATCTCAGAATCTCCTGCCGTACATGAAGGATCTGGCTGACCCCACACCAAAGGATCAGCCGTCTTGAACACTTCAAGGCTCATCTTAACCTAATAGTTGAGAATGCTGCCAAACAAAAAAGACAACCAAGTTGTCCATTGCCCAAACACTCCATGGGACTGGAATGTATGCCGCCCCATTAACCCCTGTTCAACCAAGACAACATAGGCGAATATGCGTCCCGTGTCCAGGTCGTGTCCAAGTCATTGGGGGTCCCGCATTGTCCCGCGCCTCAACAGGACTCGCAAAGAACAACCAAACTCGAACCGAACCACGTTCGTTCTGGCACACCATGTGTTTTCCCCCTATGATCGCGACTGGTCGAGCAACAACGTACAGGATCCGTCACGGCAATAGTGGAGTGTGTTGGTCTGCGTGGTCCTTGGTGCACCCAATCTGGCCCTAGGGCTCCTGGCCTAGCTCCGTTTCGAAGGTGGTTGGGGTGGGTTTGGGGGGTCTAACCACCTGAGTATATGGCCCAGGAGCCCTATAGGGTTGAGTGGGAGTGGACATCCACTAAAGGTAGATTAATAAGTAACGAAAGAAATGCAAAAACACACCCGTACGTCCAGTTAAAAAAAAAGAACGTAAGTCCAGTCTGCTGGTCTGACTGACTTCGGTAAGTCATCAGTGCTTTTTGTATGACCACCTCCAGGATTTCATGAAGTCGAACTGACCGATATGGAGAAGTCAGTCTCACACGACTTGGGCGAACCACTCCGAAGCCGTTTGGACAAATCCTTACAGTGAACTGGTGAACGGAACGATTCTTGCGAAACGTGAAACGTGGGGTGGACACTCCAAACCCCCGTGTCAAGGCTTGGGCAAATGATGAACTATCATTGGGTAGAAATGCAAACAATTGACATGATGCTAGGGCATATATATATATATATATATGGTCATAGGCACCATGTGTTCAACATGACTTGCTTTTTGGTTGTCGTCCTATTGGTGGAAGAAGAGAAAAACCATCGATCTGAGTACTTATTGTGCATGACAGGCCTGGTCAGGACCAAACATCTAGTACATCTCCCTGGGAGTCCAGTCGACTACTTTAAGAATGGTGTGTAGGTGACCCCCAAAGGAACTGCCTTTCCTTCAGTGTGCCAAAATTGAGTCTATAGTGGATTGAGAGGACCAATGGCACAGACCCCAATGTCGGTGGTTTAGTAGTGGACCCCCACGCTGTCTAGGAGTCTAGGACATTTTGAGGTCTGTGCCATCGAACCTCTGATGGCCCACTGAGCCATGGACTTCACTGTTCTAGTGTCAAACTCTTGTAGGTGGAGTGATGTGAAGGGCGAGCGGCTCGAGTTAAAGCACGTCGTTCGAACATGTGTAGGGGTGTCACAATCCGTTGAACCGATGAAACATCAAACCCTGGGAGGTTCATTTGGACACAAGACCGCTGAAAGCAAACACAAGACCTGTGTCCAACACCGATGAAAACACGATGCTCGTTGATGGGTCGCACCAAATACGGCACCAGTGGCACCGAACGTGGCCGACTGCTCCGTAACCGCAACCTTCACGTCACCGCAACCTTCACGTGGCCGCGTCACCTACCAGGGTCGACTCTACTGCTCACTTCAAAGAGCGTCAATCTCATAAGATCGAACTCCACAAGATCCAAGTCTTGGGGGAATCAGCTCCACTGCCACCAGGTTGGTGCACATGCGAACGACCAGTCCAAGGAAAGAGTCTTGGTCCAGATCGGTTTATGGAGGATCCACATGAGCTCCTACATGATGTGTTCATCTCTGATTCTATTTAGGGCCTGTATTATAATATAGGGAGACCTCAGTTCGCACCCCTGAAAGAAGGGAAGTAGACCAGACTATGGGGCTAGGGTGTCTCCCGGATTTAAAAACTATATACATTTGATAATTTGATATCTTTGTTATGTCCAAGTGTGTGTTAAAAACAGAACACCAGCTCATTTGTTAAACATACATCAAGTGATTTGGCTTGGAACAGCAGGTCTCTCCAGGTCCCTCCAGGTCCATTCTCCATGCCAGGGTTCCCATCTTGGCGCATGCAGCGCATGAGAACCGCATGCTGGGTGTAGAGCTTGCCACGGTTCTGGTAGGAGGGGCGATTGATGGCCATGGGGTAGTTGGCACGCGGCATGATGAGCCTCAGAATCGGTGGATGGATGGGAACATGTTGTGTCTTCAAACACAACTGTTCCATCAGCGAGACGCGAGACTTTCAACATATACCCCACTATACCCCTTAAAGCCTACAGAACAATGATGGCCACCACCCCACCCCCTTGATTATAAGGGGGTGCAACCCTTCGTGGACGTTCTGGACTTCACTTCACCGCCACCCCGGGAGACAAACCCCCGCTGCATGAGACTGGCCGAGCGGCAGGCGAATCACACGCTCGAGGCCGCGCAGCAAGAAGTATCCACCCGACTCGGTCCGGTCCTGGCAGTTCGGTTCCACAGCTCGGTCGTCGCACCGGCCGAGCTTCGTTTTGGGACTGGGTGCCAGTTTCGGGAGATACCGAGGTACGACTGGAGCCCTAGGGTTGTGCCTGGTTCTGCAAACTTCTTAGATGAAAATTCGTCCCTCTTCTCTGATCATCGTGCTTCCTGACCTATGAGTGAGGTTGGTACGTGGTGTTCAGCCCTGGACTATTGATGTAGCTGGCCTTCATCGTAAAGAATCTCTTTTTGGTTCCAACCGCTAGGTTCCAAGTGCGCTTCCTTGCGCGACGCTCAGGTGGCAGGACATGGAAAAACATGAAACAATCATGGGACATTGGTCTAAATTAGTGCTTTGGAGGCTACAGGACCTTCTAAACACCTCAATAGTAAGGCAGTCCATCGTGCTCTGCACGGACTCGCGCGCAACGTCACGTGCGGAGCGCACGGCCCACCTCTTTCGCTTTCACCAGCTTCTCGGGGCTGAGGCCTCGGCTCCGGCCGCGCCGCTGCTCGCGGCGGACGAGTCCCTTGTTTGCGAACGGAGGACGAGACCCGTTCGACGGGGGAGGCGGCGCGTTCGACTCGATCCCGATGAGCTTTTGGCACGCAGGAGCGAGGATTCGCAGTTGGTCTGTTGATGCTGGAAAGCCACAGGGCCAGATGGCATGAACTGATCTACCCAGGACCTGAAAAAATATGGGAGTGACATGACTCGATATGCTTCAGGCCCTTCCGGCGCACGGTTTAGTTGCTCAGGACCCCCTCACATCACAAACATGCGCGGAACGGGTTCAGCCGGGAGGACGATCGTCCTCCACGAGGTTGACCAGGTGCGACGGTGTGTCGTCCCACCGTCTCGCGCAGCTCATGTTTGACGCTTTCCAGCGATCGTTCTGAGGGTGAATGTCCAGTCCAGAACCGCCCCGACAAACAAAGACGGGGCGAAAGGATACCCGTTTGGCCGACCTGGTCGCACCGTATCGTTTCGATTCGGTGGGACTGGGGTGGGTGCCAGTTTCGGGTCCAGTCATACCAAACCTGAGGAGGTACGACGAAGTCGGTGTAGGGAAAGAGAGTTGTTAGACTTTTGCATCCCTGGTCACAGCTGGGTCTTTGGTCACAGCATGTGATTCCGGATTCCAAATTTCAGAACCATCTTCAAAAGGTCTCACCTACGTCGGCGTAGACCCCCCTGCAGGTCCGACCACAATGTGAAGCCACCCCCAGAAGCCACGGGTCGGGTTGACGGGTCGAAACCGGGGACCGACGGGTCATCTGTCAAACCAGGGGGTTGCTGAACTCTCAACACCTGTGGGATCGCTTCGAGATGCTCATCACCTCATATGTTGTGGGTGTCAAAATAAGGAGACCATGAACTATGGACCATCTCCATTAGATGGTCCACCTGTTTGTTTGGGAGGTCCCCCTATCAAACGACTCATCCAGTTTGCACTGCCCCCCGACGGACGACGGACTGGATCCGCAGCGTCTTCCAGACTTGTTCTCACCGCAGGCGCCATAGAGGTTGCACTTGAGGGATCTCACCATGATGGGAATATCACCTAAGCCATGCAATCTCGCCCTGTAGGTGATGGTGAGTTGGTTGCAGGTGAAGAGTCTTCTGAGAATCCACAATCTACTCATGCCTCCAGAATTTGAGTGACAGGCCATGAAAAGGCTGTACTGGATCCGTCGATTCAGCAATTGCTTGCAGAAGGGAGGAACTAAGCAATATCCGAATCCCAAACGCTGTCTCAAAATGTATATTATATACATGATTACTATATATATATATCGATCCATACCCAACTACTGAAAGCCGCATGTTTGCATGTTGTTGCCATTGCTGGCATATTCTATACATGCAGGGTTGATCCCATCATCCAATAATTAGCAGTCCTATGACTCAGCCCCAAAAAACTGTCATGAGTCATGACGGACTAGTGACTGGTCCTACTTTGTCATGGGGAATGCCAGGAAAGGGTTTGGGTTTGAAGGACCTTCATCCACCATGTGGTGTTTTCAAATTGCAAATAAATTTCATCGAACTGTTCATCAGAATGTTTGAAACATTTTGAACATGGTTGAACCAGCCAATTCATAGGTTGAACGACTTGGCATATATGGGATAGGTTTAACAAGCTGGCTATATATGAGTTTGTTCAGTCAACTTCTGCAGGTACAAATCCCACCCTTTTCCACATTACATACTTGGACCTTTGCACAGGGCACTATGATGGTTCTCACCTTATCCAAGTAAAGTGAGTTCGATCAGGCACGGCTTGGCTGGCTTAGGCCTGCGGCCTTTCCACATTTGCTTGGCATGCCGAGACTCTTCCTACAAGCAGGGTTCTTCAGATTCGAGCCCCCTTTGAAGTAACCAAACGGTCCATGTGTCACTCATGAGTTCCCGGCGCTGGGTTTCATGAAACCGTTCTGCCGCACGGTTGCGCTCAAAACGGTGTCGCGGTTCCCAAAACCAAGGCACCAAGGTCCACCTCAAATGTGTTGTGGGTGGATTTGGTGCTCACTTCCTGAGTGAAAATGCACATTTCGCAACAAAAAGAAACATCACACACCCCGACACACTTAGTCACATATATACACACACACATGCGGCATCCAGGCAAACCACGGTGGCTGGTAACCAGTGGTTTCAAAGACAAAAACCATAGACCTAGAAACTGTGGTTCCTTATATAGTAAAACTGGGATCCACTGGCACTGACACTGACACTGTGAAGACTCCTCGTGGGAGAACGCAACCAGTTGTAAACAAGAGCTCCAGTAGACAGCTTGTCAATTCAGCTGAAACAGGCATGGCATACGTTTTCACAGGGAAACAGTAGTGCCCAAACACTCCATGTATGGTATATTTGCCTACATTGGGGTGGTGCCAGAGGGGTCAACTGATCGGCATCTATGGCAGTCCGGGTCGTGTCTGGGGTATTATATATCGTTATGAGGTAAGTCTATTTGAGACACCTTGGGAACGTACTGGTACCTTTTTCATGTACCTCCACGGTCCTCAGGCCACGTCTTCTTGGACTCAGCTCGCACCGAGCGTCCATCTTCGCACTGAGAGTCCCGCTGTAGGTGGCGTGCGCCATGCGGCAGTCCGATGGAAGCCACCGGCGCTTGAACCTCGGAGCAGTGCAGTGTGTCGCAGTACCGCTGGTGTTTTGAAACCCCCCGTCTGGGCGAGCCAGACTTTTGAGGGCGTGCCCTTTGGGTCGTCATGGAGTCTTTATGACTCAAATTCAGGAGAGTTCTTGAGCCAAAGCACAAAGTGTAAATCTCAGCGCCGCTGCTTTTTTTGGTTGATGACACCAACTTCATAATGCAAGTGATGTGTCTTGCATAGTCTACATCACGAATTCCAAAAAAATGTATCCGGGATCCGCCAAAGTAAACACCAACGGGTACCGGTGCTGGGATTTCGGTACACATAATTGCGACTGCCTCCATCCGTAATCAAAAGCAGAAATCCCCCGGTTCAGAACAACTCGGTCGGGGATCTCCCTTAAGCGACTCACACCGTTTGATCACCGTCACTCAATCAAAAGCGACCCCACCCGCTCCGTCTGCACCCCACCGACCAGTGAGGCATCGGCCCACCCGCTCCCACCGAGCAGCTCTCGTTCACCGGCCTTCGGCTCCGCTGCGGCGGCCACGGTGGCGTCCTCGCTCTCCGCACCTTCCGCGTGAGGCTTGCGCACGGGCTTGGTGACCTGCGCGACGAAGTGGGAGGCGGGTGTCGACCCTGCGGACGAAAAGCAAAAGAGCAGAGAAACGAACAAAAAACAAAGCAAAGGAGAGCGTTTTGGGGCGCCCAGCGGTTTGGCATAGGTACGGTTGGCGCAGCGTCTTTTTGCGGCAAGAAGAGGGTGGCTGCATGGTGAGTTTTTGAAGGCAAGTTTTAAGTGAGAGTGAGATGGGGAAGGTGTGAGTGTAGGACGCAGCAAGTGCCTTTGAACTAGGATGAACCAACGATATGCAAAATTAAATAAGTGAACATGATTAAGCAAAACAATGCGAACAGTAGCAAGTGAAATTCCAACGACTTTGGGCACTCTTCCAAGAGTTCTCGGGAGGTGTGCGCATGCTATACACGTGCTAAGAAAACGCCTTAAAACCTCTTCCATGATCAAGCTCTGACACTGGGCTGGGAAGACTGTATGCGATTTCACATGATTTTACGCACTCCCGTATTACTCTCTGCATGGATCACATCCGGGATGGTGGAAAGCTACTCCATCATGAAGCTCTAAGATCAAGCTGGAAACCCATTCCCAACATGTCCAAACCACTTCCTACTATGTGAAGGATCAAAGCAATGATTCCAGGATCCAGTCGTACCGTATCGTTTGGGTTGGGGGGGGGGGGACGGGGGGGGGGGGGTGGACAGTGTGTGTCGGGTCCAGTCGTCCCGGACGACGAAGGAGGTACAAAAACGGATCCCTAAAAATGGCAGTCTTGGAGCATCTGGGAGCAAACCTTTGATCCCTTTGTTTCTTTCGACCTTTCCGGGAAGCTCTCACTAACTTTGAAGAGGTGACCCTCAACCGTTCTGCATTGAGCACGGTTGGTGGAGGACGGACCAGGGATAAGTGGAAAACCGGAAGAGCATGGCATCCCTGATGGATGCAACTTGACCAAACTGATCAAGTCAGGATGAAAACACCTTGGGGGCTTCTCCCTCCGACCAGCCAAACACCATGTGAACATGGAGTTTGGGCTAGAACATGTATACATACAGAAGAAGCGTTTCCTCCACAAAAGCCTCCCTATATCCAGTCGTACCGAACCTCAGGTACAGTGAGGAAGGAGACAGCAGTTCGATCTTGCGCCAAAACGTCGGGTCCAGCCGTACCGAACCCGAGGTCGGTACGGTAGGATCCGTGGATGCCGAAGCCGGGTCTGTGTGAACGACCACAACGCTTCCTTTGCGCTGAGACCACGTGACGTTTACGTGATGCCCAGTGGCCAGGAGCTCGGAGATACTGATTCTGAAGGGACCTGGAGAGTGAGAACCCCCAGTGGCTCGTCCGATGGACCACTCGACCACATCCCAGTTGCACGATTTACCTTCCACAATTCAGTGGAACCCATGTCCTTCGGGAGCTTCGTTGTGAAGAACGCTGCCCGTTTCCGTTCGCCGGAGGGAAACCGGGCCCGGTGCGCCCGGTCCGCCCGGAGTCACCGGAGTCACAAGGAAGGTATGGGCCATGGGGATCCATTTTGTGGGTAGAAAGGTGTGCTTGTGTGTGTGTGTGTGTTTGTTTGTGTGTGTGTGGAACACATGAAGCCAGATGTGGAACCCAAATCCGAGAGATCTCAATGTAGCTAGCCCCATGCAGCCGTACAACTAGAATCAACTAGATCTGGCCCAGGATTCCATCATGCGGCTCTTTGGTTGATTCAGCGGCTAACTAGGCAGAAACTCCAGTTTGGCACCTGACTGATGGGCAAAAACCTCTATTTAAACTGCGTTTCTGCAGGCTGTCGACTTCGCATCTTGTATTTTGCTGCCTAGCTTCCAATGGGTGTCTAACGAAAAGTCGTGTAGGGGTGTCCATTGGCGACCCCGAAGGGAAGCAGCTGGTGCAGAGATCCGTTGACACACTCTTCCTTTTGGAGTCCACGGAGAATTCGGTTCTTGCATCTTCTGTGTTGCGTGCTGCGTGCGGCGGCGGTTTGTGTCTTGACCCCGCTAGATCAAGTAGATCAATCAACCGCTACAAGGATCCCATCACGTGGTCCAACAGAAGGAACCAACTCATCGTCTCTCAGATCGGGTGCGATGCAAAAGGGACATACCTAGCGCCTAGCGCTGTCGGGGTGCGGGGTGGACAGGGAGACCTGGGTTCGTAGTGTGGATATCCAGCCAGGTGACAACCGAAGGGGAAGCAGCTCGTAGATGGTCTATTCTACTTTACCCTCGGGATCCAAGTATCTTCTCAGAAGATGCACTGTTATGTAGGTGCCAGGAGGGTCCAGTCGTACCTTCTGAGGTTCGGTACGAAAACGGATCCCTAGGGTGAGTGGGGGTGGTCGGTCTCCCGGAATTCCTCTCGTCAGCACCAGCCGTCGGTGTAGGTCACCCGCCGTGTGGTGCCCTCTTCGGGTAACACGGAGGCTTTGGTGCTCTACGGTTGGACCTCATGAAAGACTGGACGTGGTCACCCTACACCTCCAGTCGTACCTACTCAGAAGCCCTCCTGGCACCCACCCCAGTCCCACCTTCTGAGAAGGTGCGACTGGAGGCCTAGGGTCATACGAAAACTTCAGAAGCTCAAAGACCAGGTTTGGACCTGGGTCAGACTGAACTTTGTATAGGCCTGAGAATCAAGGACCCTCAAAGGTGAGGCTTTTGGATGCTCCAATGATGAAAGGTGACTGTATTGAACAGCCCTAGAGAGGGTTGTGTTCGCCATTTGTCCGCCACCGTGGTCACCCTTTACTCCAAGAAAGTCAACTGCAGTGGTCTTGCAGTCGATTTTTTGGGGCTGCAGTGGTCAATAGATAGAACATGATAGAACCACCGCCTGAGACCTGCAGTTGTGACCCCAATACTCCAGCTGAAGCAGGTGTTCACCTCCTTTGTTTAACCCTTCACCACTCCTGAATCAAGTAGGTCACTCTCTATAGGTAGAGACTCTATAGATGTCTGAGCGGTCCTCATGCGCCAATTCACTCGCTCCCGCTCACTTCCCGCTCGGCCTGATTTCCCCTGAGGATCCTCGAGCTCAATCGCTTCCAGTTCTTCTGCAATGCCTTGGGACGCGGGGGGGGGGCGAGCGAGGCAGACAGCCAGGCCGCAGGAGGATGGAACAGGATGTGATCCTGGAGGGTGGTCTCATTTCTTCAAAAAGGTGTCCCTAGGCCCAGGCCTCCAGTCATAGCTTCGGTTCAAAGGTGTTTGGGGTGGGTGCCGGTCCAGTCATACAGAACCTGAGGAGGTACGACTGGAGGTGTAGGGTGTGTTGGTTAATTCTTTTCTCAGTGGGTCTTTTTCTGGGGGTGTTGTTTTCTTGAACTGAAGGTTTGTCCCTTGGTGACTCTGTTCGCCGTGCGACTGGTACCTGAGAAACAGAACAAGTACCTGCGGACAAACTCCAAGTTCCTGAAGACCAACTCCAAGTAGTTGAGGACTAACTCAAAGTAGTTAAGGACAAATGCCAAGTACCTGAAGACCAACTCCAAGTAGTTGAGGACTAACTCAAAGTAGTTAAGGACAAATGCCAAGTACCTCAAGACCAACTCCAAGTAGTTGAGGACTAACTCAAGGTAGTTAAGGACAAATGCAAAGTACCTGAAGACACAAGTACACCTGGTCAAAGGCACTGAGTTGTATGACGAGCTGTATCCACATCTCACCAGCTGTATCCACCTTCGAGCGTTCTCACGCAGAACAATTGTTGGGTGAGCGCACCAATGTTCGATCTTGGTGAATGTTGATGCCAGCTTGGGCATTCACAAGGATCTCGTTCAGAAGCCACCCCTGATAAGGCCTTTGCAGCTTCTGATCACGGCTGTCGATCACGACGAACTCTTCCCCTTCTCCGCATCTAATCTGCCGTCTTCGTAGACTGGAAGTTGAGCTGACTTTGCGAAGGCGGAGTGGACTTCCCCAACGAACACAAGAAACATGATGTTCCATAGGATGCGCTATACAAGTATTTATAGTATTCCATGTCATGCAACTCAAAGGATAAAATCAGTATAAATCAGTACTATGTGCGCTCCCTTCTGAGCCGTCGGAGCCTTCTTCCGTTGCGTGACCTCTTCCAGCTCAGTTCCGCTGCTCATGTCACTGGATCAGCCGCAGGGGGATGCAGCTGGCACAGCCCGGAGGATCGACTTCTGGCAAAGCAACACTGCTAGCTCAGCTTGTGGTTTGCTCTTGCATGCTCTTGCTCAGTGATCACTGGCAAGGCTCAGCTGCTTGGTGGAGCTGCAGGAATTCTCGTCCATGAGGAATTCTCGCCTGCAACTGATCCAAGCATACTGACGCAATCAAGACCTCACCCTCGTGGCGCGCTGCCCACTCGCAGCCGAGCCCGGCTGCCAGGCCAGAGTCTGCATGGCGCCAAGGCAGGGGGGAGCTTTCGGAGCAGAGCTGGCGTGGAGCTGGCGCGGTTCTCCGGTGCTCCCAGGTTCGAGACTCGTGCCAGGCACAGGAGGTGTCTGGTGACCCAAATGGTGGCGCGCCAAAGTCTATCTAAGCCCCTACACCTCCAGTTCGTTTCTTGTTTCGAAGGTGTTTGGAGGGTCCAAAATACCTTCTGAGCAGCCTTAGGGACGAGAGCTCTATATGCAGTGGATTCAATCTATACAAAGGTACTCATCTGTTCCAGGCCTACCTAACCAACTGAACCAAAGCACAAGTCCACGCACTCACCTTCTCTCTCGCTGACTCTTTGGCAAGGTGTCTGAGTCTGAGGATGATTCTGCACATGAGTCATCCCTCGAAAACCGCATCCCTCAACCAACCTTTTCCATGCGTAGGTTCTGACCAGGTGCGATCAAGCCCATGCTTCAGGAAGGCATTAAAGGAGTCCACATGGTTTTGCACTGCCTCGGCCGTTTTCACAAGAAAAAAGAACGTCAAGGCCACGAGTGTGGTGGAGATTCTTCTTCTGCTTGTGGATGGCCCCTCACCCCAAGCGTTTCGGTGTTCATCCATGTTCATCCTAGAATGAGGTCACTTAGTCCCTGAAGAGGTCACTTACAGACTCCAAAGAGGTCACTATACTATTTTTGTTGGGATGCGTTGAGCTAGACCCCCGACGCCGCACGAAAGCGTGGCCTGCTTCAGCATTCCAATCCTTGGATTTGACGCATCAGGGCATGCAACATGCTTCAAGGGTTGGCGCTTGCTTCAACTTCTTAACAATGGTTGCAAGTTGAAAGTCTAATAACCACAAATCATCAACCATTCCCTGTCATTCCCTTGCAGTAGCTTCCAACTTAAACTCCCAAATCTGTCAAGTTGTTTGCTTCAGAAGCCTTCGGAATCCAAAGATACCTCAACATCGCTGCCAACAAAATCAAAGAAGAACTCCAACATCTGCCATACTTGGTTTACCCAAATCATCGCAGATCCAACGCGTTGTTTTCTGCAAGCGTCTTTCAGTCGCATGGTATCCACCATCCGTTCTTTCACCCCCCTTTCCTCCATCGCCGGGATCGCACCCGATCGACATCGCAGCACCTTCATCCCTTTGCATCGAACCCAATCCCAGACAACGACCAACGGGACTGCCTGGACGGACTGCCGCCCAGAAAGACTCCTTTTTCAACCAACCTCCTCAGTTGATCGGCAGTCCGTCCTGGCAGTCCCATGGAGTCTATGGGAATCATGTTTCCTTACCAATCCATGCTTGGAGCCCAATGATAACATATGGCATTATATATACTGTATATATATATATATATCCTCTCATATGTTCGAAGCGTCAGGCCATTCTCATCCATGTGACACCCCCACTGGAAGACCTCCAGAAACTCTGTTGAAGATCTTCCACTCGGAGCCCGCCCGCCCTCGGTCGAAACGGCAAACCGTGCAGTCTCCTTCAGTTCCCCACCATAACGACGTGCGCAAGAGTCCCATGATGCGCTTTTTCGGGAGGAAGCTCCGGAAGCTCCTTCTCCAGACGACTCTCCATCGCTGCGCGAAGACTGAAGTCTCACGTCATAGCAGGACGAGTCGCCCCGGAGGCTGGAAAGCCCCCCGCAAGGGAGAAAAGGCTCCAAAATAGATCTTGACAAAAAAATAGGAGAGAACACTTCGAGGTGCTGTTCAAAAACCCTGCATCAAAAAAGAAGCACAAGTACACCACTGCAAGCTGGATTCAGCTGGATCAACTTGTCCTCAAACTGGAGGATTGGGCATTTTTTGTGGGCAGGGTGGGATCTTCTGGGATCCACTAAGGAACCACTTTCAGCTGCTTTACCAAGTTCCTCGCTTGAGTCGGCCGAGAAACGTGGCGGGAAAACAGCACCGTGCATGCGGAAAAAACAGGGATACATCTTCTCTGGATGCACAGGCGATGCATCGAACTTACACAGCGAAGTTCTTGAACAGCTGACAGAACAACTGAACCTCAAAACAAAACTATCCGTACACCTCCAGTCGTACCTCAGAAGGTATGACTGGACCCTCCTGGCACCCTCTCCAGTCCCACCTTCGAAACGAAGGTACGACTGGAGGCCTAGGGTATATGGATCTATTATGGAATATTGCCTGGATTAGGGCGGTGTTGAGATGTTTTCAGGGTTCATGTAGGTAATCATACATGGGTTGTTGAGGTCACAGCAGTAGCCTAGCATACTATGCATACATGATATGATCCTGAAACTACACTTTCCACACAAAAACTCTCTGGGTAAGGACACAGTTGTACCAGTCAGAATGTTCACTCATTAGGGTCTTTCTCGCTCATCGACTCGTTGAACAGTCGTGAACAAAGGATGCATCGATGTGAATCTTCATCCATATCAGTGCCCATGAGTATGCTCTTTACTTTGTTTCTCAGAGAATCGTGGTCCATCTTGGTCCACCATTCTCTATAGCAAGGTTTTCTACGCCGGCGGGGTGAACAACAACATCTCAGAATCCCATGGATCGTACTTCGTTCATCCACATCAAATTCGGTCACAGAGAAATGAGTCGGTCTGACCGAATTCGTGACCTGCTAACAGGCGAACGGTTGGGTATATCCTACCGCCCAGTGGATGATGATCGGTCAAGGCCTTCTTCTAAAAACATCGTAAAATATCGTAAAAACGGTGATGTGTTCGGCGGACCGCCATTGTCGGGGGAAAAGGGTGCTCGGTACCGAACCTCGTACCGTCGGTGGATCTGTGGGGATCTGCTACAGGATAGATGGACCTTCGCCCTGCTACACTCTGGCAGGCTTGCGAACGGTGGAAGGGGGTGGAAGGGGGTGGTGGTTTTGGGGGCTCAAGGCGGTCTTACGGCAACGATTGGACCGTGACATGGGTCCGAAATCGGTCGGAGGTGCCACCCAGTGGTGCAGGGTCCTCATGTGTCCTAAAGAGCTGATGTCAACGGTGCACCGTGCTGTTCCCTGCATTTGCTTGTGCTGACCTCCTCATGAAGGAGGGGACAAAGCATGGTCTTGGTCCAACATCTTTTGCCCCCCGCTGCATGAAGTCGAAGGGGTCCAGGTTCCGAAACGGATCAAGCAGGCTTGCACTGTTTTCAACACTCACCATTACATATATAGCTTATAAACCAGTCTTATAGCCATTCACTTAATCTGCTCCCTCAGCATGGCCACAAAGATGCATCAACATGCATCAACCTCTTGACTCATCTTGACTCAAGACTCAATCATAGATATATGTCAACTTGTTTTCCCATGTTGCTCCCTATAGTGATATGTGCTTCTTCACAACACACACCGGCTGGCACACTTGCGCTTCCCCTCGCCAGGCCAACCGCCCTTCGGCCAGCGACGTCGGCCGTTCGACCACCGGGCCGTGCGGCGTGGAGCGCTCGAGAAAGTCCATCCGAGAACTGGTGGAATTCATCTGCGTCACGTGGTGCTCCTGCGTCACGTGAGGACGCGAAGGACGATCTGCGGTGGGCACCGACGAAGACACCTGATTTGGGAAAGATGTTGAGAATTTTTTGAGATGCTGGTTCAGGGATAGAATTTGTAGCTTCTCGGGTGTGTTCTTTCGGTTTCCCTAGAGTTGAAGCATGTGACTTCCCCCAGTTGTTTTGCATCTGTCCCATTTCCCCCCTTTCCTATGCCAAGCAGGAATCGGTGAAGTCCCAGTGAGAGATTCAACGGTGCAGTAACTGATCATCCAGCAAAAACTGCTTTAAAAGAAACTTTACTATATAGTAACAAGAAGCTACTTGTTACGTAACAAGGGCATCGCTACTAGCAGCAAGGGCATTACTACTAGCAAGAAAACTACTAGGAGGGGTCGCTCCATATACCCATGTAGAACAGCCCCGTTCGGGCTCTCCGTTCGGACTGGGTGGGAGCGTTTGGGCCGATCGGAGCCCGAACGGGGCTGTTGGGCCCATCAGACACCTAAAAGATGACACTCCCTGGCAAGAGTTTTTTGTTTTTTTTTTTTTACGTGGGAAATGGTCCAGGAAAGATGACCAGTTTCCTCTACAAACAGCTGCTTTTCCACTTCCATGATGATTCAAAGGGGTGTATCTGTAGTAGCAAAGCAAAAATAAAACATGAAATACTCTGTTCAAAATGTTCAAAGATGTTCACCTGTCATGTGAAGTCTCTCGAGATGTCAAGTGGAGTTCACTAAAACGTATTAGTTTAAAAAACAACACATCACTATCATGCTCAGGGGGGCACTTTGGAGGTCATTCGACGGCCATTTGGTCTATGTTGGGGGCACACCCAGAAGGGAATAGCTCTGGGAGCAAAGTGCATCCACTGGATATCGCCCTAAGACTGGTCAACTTCTAATGGGTGTGTAGACTGAACACGAAGCCCCGTATGTAGACTGACCGGAACCCATACGACCGGGAAAAAGGGGTCACGGAAACGGCCGTGGGTTTCCGGCCATCTGTGGTGTTTCTCAAACCTGTGGTTACACTCCCTGAACTAATCCCGTTTGGCCTCCAAGTACCTTCGTTTCGAAGGTGGGACTGGAGTGGGTGCCAGGAGGGTCCAGTCATACCTTCTGAGAAGGTACGACTGCAGGTGTAGGGTGAAATCATTGTGGAACCGGAGTTCACCACCTGGTTGGTATTCGGATTTTGCCCCGTCCTCCGAGCTCGGGGCCATGCCATCCACGTAACCCTGACGACTTCAAAGAGTGTAGACCATAATCCGGTCCACCTAATAAAAAACACGGGGCCCCCCCCCCTAATAAGGAAACCTCGGTCGCATTTTTTCTAATAGGGGGTCCCTGAAATCGGGGGGCCCAAAATAGGGTCACCTGGAAAGAGTTTCAAAACCAAAAAGTAATCCAGGTAAATTTTATATAAAATCCTTTATTAAACTCATATCAAAAATGCAAAAAACCGCCAGATCGAAGGGTCTTCCTTTTCCCCTACAAAACCTTCATTAGAATAGTGATTCTTCAGTAGACTAACAGCTAAAGCTTTCGAAAGGTGATGTCGCTGTGCATGACCTCGGTGGCAAGTGCGTTTGCGTGAGTCCGTGCCATTGAGGGAAGGAAAGCCTGCTGGTGTAAGCGCGGCGTGTCATGGTGGAGTTTTGGGGAACCTAATAAAAAAAACTACCCCCAAAATCGACCATGTTGGTAGTTTAGTAGCGGTTTGAAAGGGCGGCAATTTAAAACCAAATATAAACCGAATTTAGGGGATCCGGCATGACTTTTTTTTAATTGGGGTCCGTTTTTTAATAGGTACTCGGGATTATCGATATTGATATGGCGACCCAAACTCATTTCAATTACTTTCCCACTAACTTAGTATAATAGTATATAGTAGAATAAGGGGATCTCCCAGGCAACAACCCCCTCTTCAAAAAAGCAAACCCACATTAAGGGGTCTCCGGGTATTGATCATTGGACATGAGCCACCCTCCTGCAGATTAACAAAAACTCTGAAAACCACCTGTCAAGGAAAAGCGGTTCGCAGGAATCAGTTTGTTCAGTGTCCATGTTAGTCTGCAGGTGGGTAACCTTTCCAGGCAGCCACATGCCATGTCGGTGAAACATGCATTGCTACCGTCGACCGCGGAGAGCGCTGCTTCGTTGGTTCGAAAGAGTCCCAGGTCCTGCATACCTCTCAGCTGCTTCTGCAAGTTCTCCAAGCCCACGTGTAGTTCGCTCCGCTCCTGAAACATGACTATGATGAAACATGACATACAAATATCGTGTCATGCATTTATCCTTATATATATATATGTTTATCATCGTCACTCACACAAGTTCAATTCTTTAGGACCCTGAGTAACCCTTCCAGTCCCATGGATGGTCTGGCTGACAAACATCCACACCGCCTCGCTACCCTTGGAGGAGCTCGGCAGAGAGTCGGGCCAATCTGAGGAGCTCGGCGCCACTTCCATCCAAGACCAACATACTGGTCATGTTTTGGCCATGTCCAAGTCAAGTAAACCAAGAAATACGCCGGCATAGTCCCCGGATACCGGCACCCCGCAGCCGCACCCTGCAGGGGCAGGAAGCACCTAAGCTCCAAAGTGCACACTGCCATCAACATGCAGCATCCAGGCTCCAAAGTGCACACAAGCACCTCTTTCAAACAAAACTTGACGTAAGAACCCCAATAGCTCCCGCTATCCGAGGAAACATACAAATCAAACAATGATAAACAACTCATAATTTTGCATCCCAACATCTCCACTGCAGAGATCACTGCAAAAGATCTCAAATCTGGGGAAAAACCACCGTCCCCACCCACTTGAAACGGCTTGGCTCTCAAAGCTGCTCTACTTTCGCAACGCCCCATCTATCTCGCGGCCAAAACAATTAATGATCGCTGGGTACAAATGCTTCGGTGGGTCAAAACTCAACACTTGGAATACCAGGTATACCAGGAACACCTTCTGGTTGACCTGGGAGGTCCTTCGCTGCTAAACTGCTCACTCTTGGCATGCTAAACATATCTAGTCGACATGCTATGCTTCGCTTGCTACGACCGGGGGGTCCGATGCCCGCCGGTGAGTCGACTGACATCGGTCCTGATGGGCCTGGCCCAACTTCTTGTGCGCCGCTTGGATGCCCAACTTCGCCACCTCTGGGCGGAGCGAGCAGGAGCGAGGAGAGCGCGAGCCACGGAGCTGGGGGAGGTCCCTGAGGGTGGGAGGTGGGGGAGGTTTTTGGTGAAGGGTGTTGGTTGGGGAGAATGGGCAGCAGATGCTGTGGGAGATGGAGAATGGTATAGATGTGACAACCAAGCCTTCGTAGTGGGGATTTACCTTTTCTATCTATGACAGGGGGGTCTGTATAATGAATTGCTCAAGGAAACTCCTGCATGATCTTGTGATGTCTTCTTTCTCCCTACACCTCCAAGTACCTCCTCAGAAGGTATTTGGACCCTCCTGGCACCCACCCCAGTCCCACCTTCTCAGAAGGTACTTGGAGGCCTAGGGTCTAGTATTGCGTTTTGATCATCTCTCTTTTCCCAAAGCCGCCCCGCTTTTCACGCCCTTCAACCACCCCATGGCACTACCCCAACGTGCCCCGGCCGCAGGGCCTCGGGCACGTTGATCCAATTCCCCGAGATGGCATCGAAGGCCACGATGGGGTCGAACCTGGTCGACTAGAGTCCAAGGGTCTATGCCGGAAGCTGGAAATGACTGGACATGACTCCTTCTTTTCTTGGGATCCCAAACATTGACCCTGAAATCAACCATCCCTTTTCCGTTTCTCGGTCAAACATGCCAATACCAAACAGGTCGTGTCACATAGAAACTTCTGCGACCCACGCATATCATATCCGTGTTTTGAACAGGCCTTGTAGGGAGTTTCCTTCTTGGCAGGCCTGTACCTACATAGACGCTCCAAACAGCCCTTGGTCCCTCAAAACCTATAGGGATTGGTTCAGGTCCGGGCCCCAAATTTTCGAGGAAGACCGGGTCCGGCCCCACAACTAGCAGGGGCTTGGGACTCCTCCTCCTTGCTGCTTCATGGGGAAGAACTGGATACTTGACTTGCTCCGGATCGCTTCCTCCTTCTTCGCTTCTTGCAAGACGAATGGAGAAATCGTAGAGTCTCAGGTGCTGGAGACCTCTTCTATCTTCTATCTAACCCCGAGGGATCCAGTCTACCTTCGTCTGGAGACACTGTTACTGACTCCTGAGCCGGAAATCCCTGGAAAACAAAGGGTCAGCTTGGTCTACCTGTTCTTGTTGAGTGAGCGGGAAAAGCATTCCCCCAAAAAAGGGTTAACGGTGACCCACCGACTGGATCCACTGTTGTGTAGGTGCCAGCCAGTCGGGTCCAGTCGTACCGCACCCTGAGGTTAGGTACGACTGAACCAGCGCTGGTAGGCCTTGAACCCACACGACCCGACAACATATGGGTGCAAAACAGCATATAGCAACGCAAAAGGGGTGGCGGGGACCAGCATCAAACGATGACACCCTAGGGCTCCTGGCCCATATCCTCAGGTTCGGTGGTTAGACCCTCCCAAACCCACCCCTGGCCCACCTTCGAAACGGAGGTAGGCCAGGAGCCCTAGGGAAACACTTGTATGCCGAGTCACATTGAAAAAGGTGCCGCCTGGCTGGCGCGAGTACTCTCGCGCTTCTTCCTGGAGCCTCCCAAAACGCTTCTCCGCTGGCAGGCGAACGGTGTTGTTCACTGAAAGAGTGAACTGGTGAGTGAGTGCAACTCGTTCGTGGGCAGGTGGTTGGATATAGCCAGACATTTCTAGGCAGCAATTACTTATGCCCAACATCATTAGCAAACAATCCGTTTATCACACAAAATACCTCTTTTAACTTTTAACCCTTGTTTTAACACCATTCACTTTCACCATCCTGTCTTTTGATCCTTGGCTGTGTCAAACATGCGTGTTTGTCCTTCATACGTTGTTCAATCATGTTCAATCTGTGGATCTCGGGGCCTTTGACCCAGCAAGGATCAATCCTGACCCTGGTACTCTCCCACTCCATGAGAAAGGATGATGGATTGAAGTTCCATATTCTGGTTGCCCTTCAAACTTTGGATCCATTCCAAGCACCAAGCGATTCAACGAGGGAATCTTAAATCTGTAGGACAGCAGAAGTCTCTGCTTTTACGGGCATTGGCGGGCACAAGAGTTCTTTACATTTGAAGCCTTAGAAGCGTATAGAGAAGCCTTCTTTGACAACCTCGTCTACATGGTTCGCATCGGAACCTGTGGATGGAATTGGTTCCTGCCTGTTCTTACTGGAATAAGGTACTTTAAAGTGTCTATTACATCCTTAGACCCTCGATCCAAACCAAAGTGTATTTTCTTTGGAAAGTCCTTGGAGGAGTCGGGATAATGGATCAATCTGTTAAGTTCTCAGGAGCAGCGTTGATGTTGTCTCTAAAACATGCGCTTGGAGCCGCCCCCTAAGTTTGCGGTTCGGTGGCAGGGATGGGTGCTAAGGGGGGTCTTACTACAATCTCAGCATGTGGCTGGAGCCCTAATTCGGAAATATAAGGCCACTGAGGGGCTATCAACCCTCTTGGAGTCACTATAGCTGCTTCCACCTTTGCGTCACCCGGGGCGTCAGCCTCCATCGTCCTCTTGCATTGCGGCGTTTCAACCACGCGACACGCGAACCCCCGCGGAAGCAAATCCACTGGGCAATTCTGAGCTGTGGTTTGGTACAAAGAAAGGGTCAAGCCCTTTTGGTCAGTGCTGCTTCCCATGTATAAACAACAGCACACTGTTGAAGGAAACCATACTACTCCGACTAGATCATTCATGGTCCATCCAGCCGATTGTCAACTGGCATTCCCTGTGGATTGAAAAAGAGATAGCAGCCCAATGACTGAACACAACGCTTTTCAGCATGCGCAAGCATGCAGAACTATGACAACCATGCTTTGTTGCTGGTGACTCGTTTGCTTCTTCGCCAATCTGAGAATGTATCTACTGCTGAAGCCAAAAAGGCTTCCGAGAGACGGCCGCGCTTTGACGGCGCGCGCGAAGCAGCAGCGCGTGACGCGCAAAGGAGCGGAAGTGGACCCTGATCGTCCTACGGTCCCCCATTTGGGCGAACGAACAAGCTCTTTGATGGATGGGTTTCATCAAGATGAACAAAACAGTACCCAGTTGACCCCTAAACTTGCCCTAAATTGCGCCGTGTCTGATTGTTGAGGATTGTTGAGCCCTAGGTGGTGAACATCATGGGAGATGTGCGTTCCCTCTAATACCAAAATGCTACAAAGCTAAGGTGCGGTACCCAGTTTGGGTGGTTCATAGACCCATGTGCTTACCATCCAATAAGCATCCAAACTGGGTACTGGCTTGAAGCTGTGTTCTTTTCCAAATCACGCAAAATGCAAACCCCAAATCAGTGAAACCAGCTCTTGGATGCGGAAGGGGGGCTCATCTGCATTTGAAAAACGTGGAAATTGGAGAATCACCGGGCCTAAAGGGCCCAACGGAAGGCCGGCCGGCGTTCACCCAACGTTGGCACATGGCTCCGCCCATAATATACACCATCCAAAGAACAAAGCCATTCAGAGAAAGTATGAGAACGTGTTGATTTGCTCGGATTGGTTTGTATATGTTTGTATCATTTTCTGTGCCCAAGATGTCCTGTGTGTCCTTGATGGCATGAAAGTCCCTCTATATCAGCACCCGACTTGGAAAAGGTCTCCGAAATGGTGCCTGAAACAGAACCTTCAACGTGGCAGGTGCTGATGGGGCAGTGAGGGTGCTGCTATATCATGCCCCAGATCGACTCGGCAAGTCATGAGACCTGCAAAACACCCGTCTCGCTGCATGTTCAAATGTCTCGAATGTGCATTATTCTTTAGCAGTATCCAGCCGAAACATGCCAAAACCCATCACTACAGTCACTACCACATATCTGCAGGACTCAGAATACATCTGACCACTGCTAAAACCTTTCAACAAGCTGCTTGCATTGTTTAGAGGTCTTGACTAAAAGGATCTTTATCTGCAGCATAGCACCAAAGAAACACATAAAACAATAAGCCGCATGCCGCAACATAGAACATTTACCAATTCTCCTCTATCGGATGCTTTACAACAAACTATAATATAGTCCCATGACTTCCACATAGATGCCATACACTTATACAGGATACAGTAAACGTTCTTTCATCCATTGAACCGTCTCACATGCACACACACCAAAACACATATGTTGCTTCAAGTTACGTCCAGGTCGCATTCGACCGACCTGGAGGGGTCGTTTTGACACTGCGAAGCGAGTCTGCAACTTCCAAACCTTCGCCGACTGGAGGGTCCGACTGACTTGATCGCAGTAACTTCTATCCCCAGCACCGGCTGGCACGTGGGTGACTTGCAACAGCCAGCTTACACCATCCAAGCTTTCGGAGCATTCATATCCACGTTTTGTACAGCTGACTATAGACCAACCACAAACTCTACATGTTTTTTCCCCCCGTTCTGACGCCAACTTCTTCCGGAATTCGACGAAAAAAACCGCTCTTGCGACGTCGTATTCGTCGTATTCCGCAGCATCCCAACCTGCCGGCCCAGGGCCACGAAGTCGGGCTTCTCAGAGGTGATCTCGGGCCAGACCTGACGGGCGCAGGTACGCCCAGCCAGACGGTCCGCGGCGGTGGGCAAAGTAACGAGAGCCAGGATTGAAGCTTCAGGTTGTTTTGCTAACAATCAAAAGTATGTTCCATACATGCGTGGCCTTGGGTAGTCATAATCCTCTCACCACTGCAAAGGTGCGACATCAAAGCAAGCTGACCTTCGCCTGGCTGCCCAAGCGGGCCCACTTCCCATCAAGGGACCGTGGTTCCTGCGGAATAGTCGAGCAAATGGACGGAAGACATGGGAATCTCATGGAACTTCCATGTGTCTTTATATCCCAGATATGTTTTATATGACCAACTCCAGTGCAATGAGGTCTTTGACTTGAGGTAAAATGAGGTCTTTAACCCATGAACTCACAGCTACAGTGTCTTTTCACAGCGGGTCGGGTATACGGATTCATGAGCCTTTGAACCTCTCACTGCAAGAGAAACTCTGAACAGCTTGTGATCGATCTGGGGAAGATCACGACTCTGAACTGCCACTTGTGAATTCGACCCAAGGTACTTTTGAAAATGGTACATGACCAAAATCAAATACTTCTCTACACATATACAGGTCTACCGTCTATCCTATATTACCAGGGCCCAGTGGATGATGATGGTTCAGTTGCAGGCCTTGTTCAAAAGTGATGTTCTTGTTTACTGACTGCTGCAGGTAATAGGACAAAGTCTTCCCAGTGCCAAGGACACCAGGACGAAAGGAACAATAGCAACACCAAGTAGAGATATAATGAGATATATGCAGACTGTTCATGCAACAGGGCTTTCCTTATTAAGGAAGTGAAGATTCTGTGGATAAATTCCTATAGGAAATGATTTGAAATATCATCTCCCGAGGTGAAGCTTGCCTCAGGTGATTATGCAAACACATAGTTCTAGGGTGAAACGATTATCTATGGTCTGGTCAGCGAGTGGCCGACTCCATCAGCATCAAGGTGAAGAACGATGGCCAATCCAAGTACTCTCGCTCTAGGCTGAGATTGGCCCAATTGGGTGGAAGTTATGCGACGTGGGATGGAGCCGGAGCGTATTGGCACCTTCGATGATGGAGCGACATGCCCAAAGAAAAAGGGTCCCGTCTTGCTTTGAACTTGCCTGCCAGTGACAATGAGGCAGCTGTCATAGAATACCATAACCGGTTCAGGCGGCTATGCTTGGTGCCATATATATGAAGTGGTGATCCACAAATTTACTGCGAAGGCAGGCCGTGGCAGCAAAAACAAGGCCCATGAAAACTGCGGCAACGAGGTCAAGGATGACGAAGAGAAGGCTGATGCAGCTTCACGGAGTTAGAAGTGTGGCAAGTCAGAGTGAGAAGTAATTAGGCTTCAAAGAATGCTGAGGTGACCTGACGCGGGCCATGTGAAAAAACAAGACGAGGGTGAAATTTGTTTGCAAAGAGTGTGAGCTATTGGAGCTCTGACTTCGAGAATACCAAGAGCTGCATGTGTATGTTTTCGATCCTACATGCTGGTGCTGCGGCAGCTGGTGCCGCTGCAGGATGTCGCTGCTATGTGCGCTTGGGAGCTCGGGTGCTGGGGTTTATTTTGGCGTAACTCAAGCGCATGGAGAAATATGTTTAACTTTTCGCCGCTGCTGTGTGCGTTTGGGTGCTGGTGCCGATGCTATCTGGGGTCTATGCTGACGTAACAAACAGCGTTGAAGAATGCGTTTTACTTCTCGTGCTAGAGAGATTTGATGAAGGCTGCTAGGAACACGAAGTCTGCACTGACATACAGACGTGTTCTTGGTTCTGGCATGCCTGTCAGACTTTCATTCCGTGCTGTTCTAGTCCGACTTTGTGCGTGGCCGAGGTGCTTGCTGCCAGATGAGCGACGTGGCACGCACGAGAAGAAGAATAATAAGAAAAAAAAACAAAAAACATAGGAAAAAAACAGGAAGAAACAAACACCAATTGGGAATTGGGAGCAAAAGAAAAACAATCACTACTAACAACAAAAACAGCAACAATAACAACAACCACGACTACTTCTGCTGCTGCTGCTACTACTACTACTACTCCTGCTACTACTACTACTACTACTACTACTACTACTACTACTACTACTACTACTTACTCCCCTTTCTCTCTTGGGCCTTGTCAGTCTCGTTGGCCCGCTGGTCCCTTGTTCCCGTCGTGGAATATCGTGGAAGGGTCCCGTCAAGCCCGTGGGCCGGAACGGGAGAGGACTCTTCGTCCACCTGGAGCTGACCCATTCATACCGCAGAAATCACGGACTTGATAGGGTGTTTAAGTGCATCTGGCCACCAGGATGCGCAGAACATTGTAACATGTGTAGAAGTTGGGTCGATGTTCTCACTGCTGTTGGAGTGAGGTCAACTTTTATAGAGCCTGGCCGTAGCCAATTCGCCTACGGGACTACGTCCCAATGACAGCACGGGTGCGCGATCTGGACGCAAACTTGGTCCAAGAGCGGTATCTTGAACGCTGGCGCTGTTGGGTCCATACCCCACATGGGTGACACTTCAGGGACGTTCATGGTCAAAGCCTTCGTTGGCGTTGTCTGCACTCTGAGGAGCCGTCTGCTTCCACTACATCCGCCTGCGTTGGCACGACGAGGGGCACTTGGGTTGAGATGGGTGCAGCTTGACACGCAGCCAGCAAACGCTGTTCGCCAGTCAACGCAGCAGCAGCGGGACCGCAATCAGGCCTCTCAGTCTGGCTGCGCAGAGGCATCTTGCTCTTCCATAGGATCACAATGCCGTGCGATAAATCGAAAGTCCTCCACCTTCACGTCTTCTTGGGGCACAGCCTCAATCACTCAATCATACTCAATCACTAGTTCGAAGATCAATTTGCAGCAGGCGAGATCAGCAATGTGCCATGGGGCTGTGCCCAAACGCCCGGCCGACTCTCTGTCGTCCTCGAACCATCGATCCAAAGAAGAACCTCTAGAGGTGATGTTTCAGCAACATATGACATATATCCTGTATCCCCGACGCTCATGGACCCTCCTAAGTAGGGGCCGGCCGGACCCTCCTAAGTAGGGGTCCGGACCCTCAAATAGGGTTTTGAGGGACCAAGAGCTGTTTGGAGCGTCTGGGATATATATATGCACTTGAAGAAACCCTTGCTCCGTACAGGCTGCTTTTTGTCAAATCAGCCCGTGCCCTATGACTGAAAAGGCATGCAAGCCCCACTAGACCTGTGTAGTGCTTCAAGCACTTAAGAAACTTTACCCAAGCACTTATGGCTCCCTTCCACGCGCTCCTGACTGGCTCAGTGACACTGTAAGAAGTCTTCCAGAGCACAACGAACAGGGCACTGGGAAAGGGGGGGTAATGTGAGTGTGGTCTGGGCTTGCAATGCCGTATCTAGATAGATGCTAGTTGCATTAGGACAGGAACACCTTCCTTTCGTGAGTAGTTGGTCAATGGTGGTGCCATTTCTGTACGCTGTAGAGGCACCACATCTGCGGAAATTGTAAGGGTTAAATTAAAAGGAAGCTGGGTGCAAACAGGCTACACTTTGATGCCACCGAGTCATAAACTCATATCAGCTACCTGTCCAACAGTTGCCAGGCTTGGTGTTCTTGAGAAAGCATTTCAGGGATTTGATGCAGGTAGACTCTGCGAGCTCTACCCGTTCCAACGAGGGGAGTTTCCTCTTGACTTGCGACGTGGATAGGAATAAGATAGCTTTGTCTTTTTCCAGTATCACGTGCTCACGTTGAAGAACCGGCAGTTCCCCCATTCTCAAGAAAGCTGCAAAGGCAACTATCAGCCAATATGTAAAGGTGGCTGGCCCCACATCAAAGATTTCAAAAACCAGCAAAGTTGGAGGAAACGTCTGGAATCATCATAGGCTTCTTTGTACCTATTCTCAGTATTTTGTGAAGCAGCCTGATTGCGCAAAGTTTTGCTTCTTTTCCTCTCTTCGGCTCTTCCTCGCTTCGTATGGCGGCTCTGTACTTGAGGTGCCTTACGGGGCGTGACGCCTGGAAGGTTCACCCGCTGGGTTTCGATCGCCCTCAACCCAGCCTAAGATTGGGATGATTCCTCCGGCCAACTGCAGCGCGCCATACCTCCTCAGGAGCCGGTTTAGGATGCGAGACGGTGATCGTCCTTTGACGGCCACCGCCAGCACCAATCGGCTGTCGACTAAATGCAAAGCTCGACAGCAACCAATTTTTGAACTGCGCAACCTCCATGCCAAACTTGACACTAAAGCCTTCATCTCCAGAACATATTTGTGTTCCGGAAACAGAAAAGCAAAACTTTGCCCTTCGTGCCATTGCCACCGATTCACATCAGTGTCTGCTCGTGGACACGAGTCAGGCCTGTAGAGGCTGCCGAGGTCTAAGTGAACGCCAGATCCCCTGTATTCTTGCCTCTACAAGCCTTGTGCTCAGATGTTTCTCCTCCTGAAGATGCTCCTCCTCCGTTGGGTAGCACTCGAGGATGTCATTCAAGGCCTTGAGCAACTCCTCACCTGCCAGAGTCTCGGTGGCACTTTCCTCGTCTTCCTTACGGTCACGGCGGGTCTTTGTTGCTTCAAGTAGACCTGCGCCCTCTTTAGCTGGCTCTTCGGCTTCCTCCTCCAACTTAACCTGCAGGAAACCTTGCATTGACTCATTGACATGGGCTTGCGCAAGAGTCACTGGTCCTCTGCCCTTCCGCCTCATGGCTCTTAGGAGTTGGTCAAACAGAAGGGGCCAGCGTCGTCACATGGAAGGAGGGTCAGTCTTTGAGTCCCTTCCGTACCTGAGAATTGCAATAAAGTGAACCATGATAAAAACCGTCATTGAATGGGAATCAAGCCCACATGCCCTCCCTGAAAACCAATGGTCAGGCTGGTCAGGTCATTAGCTTGTATCCTACCCAACTGGTCCCTACACCTCCCAGTACCTTCTCAAAAGGTACCCTCCAAACCCACCCCAAACACCTTCTCAGAAGGTACTTGGAGGCCTAGGGGGTATCATCCGTGGCATTCCGACATTCTCCGATTTGACGCAGTCTCTGTCATGGCCATCCCTCAGTTGGCCCTCCTCCGGGCGTGCAGCGCAAAGCAGGCTGCCCTGCACACCGGGTCACCAGCGTGGTGAGAAATATCAAGCACATCAACAATAGGTGCCAAAATGACCGAAACACCGTGGGTAGTTACACAGGTAGAAGCACTGCAGCCAAGTGGGGGGCTACTGGGCCTTTTCAGAGCAGCTCGGCTCGGGGTGAACTTTATTACACATGTCTTGCACATTCTTGCACACATACACAATCAAATTCAGTGGGCCTTGTGCCTTCGAACCGCACCTCCAGCAAGGCAGGTCGAGGAGTGCAAGGGGAGTCTGTAGTGACTCCAAACCAATATAACCAATTCAAAGAACCTATCAAAACAGAATAGACCTGCGCGCAAAGTGGGACTCCAAAACCAGCACACGCACGTCAACTTACTTACGCGCGGCCTGCCCGAACAACAGCTCAATAAAATATTAATACAACATATCAATGAGTAAAGATCCTTCACACTCCATATCCACATCTACCAGCCACCATTCTCCGTCGGGTCACCCAGGATACCAGCTATGGCAAGCAAAGCCAACTGGGCCACAGAGTAGACACTGCACCGTTCGTGTACATGTTCTCTCAAAGAAGCCTTTGATGTCTATATATGAGTATATTATATGAGTGCTATATACTTCTCAGAACTGTGCAGCAAGTCTTATTATTGCTTTCCCTGTTGACACCGTTGATCTGTATTCAAGCTCTCTCTCTATATATATATATATGTATACATATATTCACCTGACAAACACATGAAGAGAGGTTACTCCAAAAACAGATTTAGTGCAGTTTCCATATGGTGCTCGTGTCCTTTGTCCTCCACAGAAAAATCAGATAAACTATGGATCCAACTATATTCCCCATCCTCCACCGCCAACCATTGAGACTTCGCTCCAGTTGGTCTTCCGACTTCACTGCGGAACCAGCCGCGGCGGTTCACCTGCCGCGCCTCCCGAAGCACTGCTAAAGGTTCGCTCTGCAACGAGGCCTCCGAGCGCACCTGACGCCGTGGCGAGGCCCACTACGTCGGTGGTGCGCTGTGCGCGCACGACGTAGCCCTCCGGCCCGCAAGGTACCCCTGGCCCGGCAGACAGACGAAGCCATAGACCCTGAAACTCACCCTGTGGAAGACCATGTTCTGAATACCAATCCCACGGGTTTTGAGAGTCCATGTTAATCTGCAGGTGGGTATGTTGATGAACATCAAGAAGTTGGAACATGTGGGAACATAGCGGATGAAGTTGCACCTGGTTTTTGACTGAACCTTGCGGTCAATCTGTAGAACTGGATTTGAACCAGTGTCGGAAACATTGTGCCTAGCTCCTGCAGCGGTTCAAACTGAAGTAGAATGATCTTTCACGTAGAATCATTATTTCCCTAATGACACGTCAAACACATCATTTTACCGGACGTGGTCATACAAAAACACTATATATATGCTACTATAAGGAGGTACCATAACTTGTCTTACTGGGTCAGACTGGACTTGGGTTCAGATCCTGCTCTTGCTTCACCGGTCTTCGCAGTGATGGCGCCACGCGCGTCGAGGCCCGCGCGGGTCGATGCCCAGGTGTCCGCACGAAAACGAAGGTGTGGATGACCTTCCAGTGCTCGCAGTTGCACCTGATATGTACCAATTGCTAGGTTGGAGACCAGCACCTTTTGGTTGCACCAAAAACAGGAGCGAACAGGTTGAGACCCCGTGGCGTGGCGTGGCTCGTGTTGGCATGACAGGGGCGGTTGTAAGGGGCGGTTGTAAAAACATAAACATGTTGTGGGAAGAAAACACGAACCCATTTAACTTAACCGTGTATACATTTATTGTATATTATTTTATATTATCATATACCGTGGAGACCCTATATGAGTCAGCGTCAAAAATATATGCTTGGAGTGTTTTCGTTTCACTTTTGTCAGTCCCCTATCGTTTTCCATGGTTTTGGGTTTTGCAAGTATGAACATGAGTACCCTATCGTTTTCCATGCTTTTGACCCCCCTCTTGCGAACAGCAGCACACACACATGCACATGGACCAACCTGCCAGGTCTAGGGTAGGGGTAAAAAACACAGTGACAAGCGGTGCCAGGAGGATTTGCCTCTCACATTGCATGTAAATAAGAACTGGAATCTGCACAGCCTTGGTTAACATGCATTGAGAGCCCCCCAAATCCACAACGCGACTGCTAGCAACAGGATATATCCGATCCAGGAAGCCCAACATGGAGGTGACCCACACCTGCCTCCTCCGAGCTGCACACACATTTTCAGTTCTGAGAAGATGAAGTGCTAGAACTGGAGCTGTCGCTGCCAGATGACGAGTCCGAACTTTCTGAGCCAGGGTTCATTGCAGCCTTTTTTTGTGCTACAGCCCTTTGCTTTTGCTTCTCTGCCCATTGCTTTCTTTTCTCAATCAAGCAATGGGCATCTGGCACCCCTGTGAAGCGCAAGTTTGCCCCATCTGGAAGTAGGTGGCTCTGGTCGCTCTGCCTCCTGGTCAAGGTAGTCTCCTCGTGAAGACCCAGGGGCCTAACATCATGGTCCCACCGCTCTCGCCCAGTTTCAGACCAAAAGCCTCGGCGGTATGCAGGGGCAGAATCCTTGCTGGGCAGGAGTTCCAAATCACTGGTGAGATTGGTGGCTGCAACCATGTTGGAGAAGACATGGTTGAACACCTTGACGCCCAGCCTGCTGGGACCTTGAGCCACTGGAGCACTGGAAAGACAATATGTTCGAGTAATGTGAAATTTTTTCGCCTGCAGGCGATATCTTTCGTTCGCCGGCTTTTTCTGGGAACCGACATCATTGATGATCACCAACAACGGGGCAGTAGCGTCTGCGCTGCGTGCCGCCTGGTTTTTGCCTGCAAGAAACTTGCACAAGTCGGCAATCTCAACCAGGTCAGTGCCTTGCTTGCGGGCATCTTTCACATAGCGCTCAAAGATGGCAAATAATCTGTCTGCCTCGCTCTTGAAATGTTTTTCCACACCGTAGTGGACACATACTCGAGCTTGGTGCTGCACTGGCAGGACGCAGCAATAGTGGTGCAGTGCTTCGTAGGATCTAAAGTGCGGCCCGGCATCCGAAAGAAGATGAATGGTGTCCACCGGGTTTGTTCCCCTGCGTTGTCTCAGTGCCTGGTCGATGCACTGAGATGCCCGACAAGAGGTGTGATCCAAAATGTCTGATAGGATCAGAACCCGGGTCCACTCCACAGTGCCATCTCTTCTTCTTTCACTTACGACAGATCCAAAAATTGAGATTTCCATCCGTGCGTTTGCGAAGAACTCTTCTCCAGTCTGTGTGCTGCGGACTGGCAATGTGAAGAGTTCTTTGAAGTCTGACAGGACAACCACGGTACCTGCAGGAGGCTCCACCAACAGGTTTGTCAGCACTGGCTTTTGAAACTCATTGGCAGAACGATGGAAGAGGTAGCTGTCCAAGAGTTTTGACATTGCTTCCAGTTGCACACACATGTCCGCCTCCTTTGCGAAAAGGGTTACACGATTGCGCTGCGGGAAGCCGCTGCGCCTGTTCCGCAAGCAGCCCAAGCCACATGGCCAGGAGGTGTGCCTGTGTCGCCGACATGCCTCCTGAGCAGAATGATGCTCCACAAAATGCCGCAGCTGCCGCAAATGCAGGCCTGGCTTCTCAAGCAAAGAGTCATGGCCCTCAAACGCATCCCATTTGGCAAAATAGTTCGGCATGATGGCCGTGAGTTCGGAATGCACAGTGGCAAGCAAATCTTTCACCTGAGGGGCAGGTCTTCCAAATCTGACTACTTTCAGTTAAGCAACAAAAACAAAGCAACACAGAAGGCTTCGTGAGAGAAGTGGCTACTCCAGGCTACTCCATACTCTATATTAGTTACGCAGGCATGCATGGTTTGGGCACGCTGCCTGGGGAAGTACTTTCTTCTTGAGATCGTAGCAATAGATGCAATAGTCATTGATGCTATCCGCTTCTTTGAAATGTCTCAAATGCTTCTTTGCTAGACGCCAGAACGTGGACAAACCCAAAGATGCTCGTATCTCGGAACCTTGCTGCCAGATGCTTTTCTTGTCCTGCTTCAAAGTGCTCACGATCTTCCACTCCTGGTCCTGCGGGTCCCACGACAAACGGCTGCTAGGCTGTGAGGCTGCTGACAAAGCTTGCTCCACCATCTCTATGAGCTGTGGGTTGTTCTTCTTGTCAGGTCTTCCTCGCTTCCTGAGAGCGGGCTCTCGGTTCTGCTCTCCGGCACGTTTCCAGCGGATCCCCCCCATGCTAAAGCCGAATTCAGCTGCGCGGGCTTGAGTGCCACAAAATTCACGCACCATCACATCCACATGCTCCCTAACCAAGCGCACTGCATCCGGTGGGTTTGGCGAAGCAAACCCGGGGCATTTTGACAGGCGACCCAGAAGAAAAGACGAGATGGAAGTCAATGACCCACTTGATTCACCAGACACGAGCGAGCCAGCACCTCCGATGCGTTTGGACACTGCAGGCAGTATGTCTGGCCACCTCTGTGATAGCTGCTGCAGCACACGTGTGACATCAGTAGCAGCATCCTCACTGGTGACACACCTGTCTAAGCAGCTTTGCAGAGACTTTCTTCTTCGCCATCTCTGCACTCTGCCTGCCGGCTGTTTCTTGAACTTTGGCGACTTGATCACTTTCTGGCGCGCGTTGGTCGAGGCTGCTTTGGCTTTTGGCTTCGCACTGGCCTGAGATTGCGCAGCTGCCCGCTCGATGAGCTCAGTCCGCTGGGCCTTGCTGAGGGTTGTCCATTTTTCTTTCCACACGTAACCCTCCAGCCAAAGTCGCTGAGCTGCATTGAGCCCACGCCCGTCCACTGCTGCTGCTGCAGCTTTCCCTCGCGGCCGTTTGGCTTCTCCAGGCACGGCTTCCCGAGCACGGGCTACTAGGACCGGACCTTCCACATCATCCTGTAAAGCTTCCTTCAACAGCAGCCGCATGCCAGCCATTGCTTTCGGCGTCTTCCCCATCGCTGTAGAAAAAAAGAGTATTCGTAGGGTATCGACAGGGGTCAAACTGGTCTTGGCATCACATGACAAGTTGGGCCTATACAGAGGGGTATCGATAGGGTATCGATAGGGCTATCCTGAAGACCTCCTCTGATCACTAGATTTCGGGCCAAGAAAACGTAAGATTCTGAAGGAGTGGCTCGTATGACTCGGCTGTTATCAATGACCAACCAGCTCCAATACCACAAGCTACCCTGCACTGGCATAGCCCTCTTCGTTGGGCAAACCACTACCG